ATCAGACGTTTCCTTAATTTAAAATTTATGCCTAAAGATAGCACAGAATATTGTTCAAATTGATTTTGCTTGAAAAATATCAAAATCACTGTCTCATATCCAGTTTATGACTAAAAAATAGTCATTGTTGTAATATTTCGTTTCGGACAATTGCGTGATCCGCAATTTTAAATTACACAAATGTTCAATTCGATTTTTTATTATTATAAACTGATAATGGAAATGCAGTAAACAGAATAAAAGATATTTATGTGCTCTATAAGCCGTGAGTATTTTAAAGACTGTAACTTGTTTCAATCAAACCGATTGACTTCTGAAACGTAAGCTGGGCCAGCCTCTTCACTGCCCTGCCACTGCTTCAATGCTGTTTTATATTATGAAGTATATATGAATCAATGAGATGGAATCCTTTATAGTTTAGGCTGAAAAAAGGTTGATCTCTGTCCAGCATTTAGCCGCCTAGCCCGTTCGGTCAGCAGTTACTGACGGCGGCTTTCACGTGTATGTCATTGTAACAATAGCCTCTGCCGAAATTAAATGCTTTTAGTGGCTTAGACAAGACCAAAGTACAATGACATTATAGTTTTTCCTGGAAAAGAGCATACGAAACTACCGTTTGGCAATTCTCGGCAGTTTCTGTAAGCTGAATCGGAATGAATTCCATTGTGTCTTCGTGGGCGAAACTCTTTACTTCCGGTGTTTATCAGTGATTTGTCAAGTTATAGTGATAACTAATATTGCTACCCAAATATAGAGACGACACACATGTTGTCACTTCAACCATCAGCAACCATTAGATCACGGGATCGAACTTGGATGAACAACACTATCACCAAAAGGAAGAACAAAAATTCATCGACAAGCAACCAGATCAAATTGTTGTGCTGATAAAGACAATAAGTAATGCATATATCCGGAGGGTCAATAGTGTATTGTGTTTAGTTTCAACAATGGAATTGGTTAGTTATCAATTTTTTTAGGGGAGCAATCCATTTTTCTTGTTGCTTCGGGCCTGAAAGCACTGGTCCAGGTCACAAGTAAACATTTATGATAATACAAGGTACACGTTAAAGGTTAGAATCTTAATACAGGTACGAAGACAGTTTTGTTAGTTTTAACGACGTCTTTCATCTTTCCTAATCGTAGCCCAATTAACATCATATACATTAAGAATATTTTTATATTTGTGTCTGAAGATTTCTTCGCGAATCTTTTCAGCCTCTCTCTCTGATTCTTCTTGTTTTCCATGTTTACAATCGAGCAGAAAATAAGGAATCCGTGGTAGATATTCTGAAAACCGAAATTTATTTTTATCATGTTTTCCAGTGAAAACTATAATCATATTATTAATGACTTTTTCTCCAAACAGTTTCTTTATAAACTCTACTGAATCTATCGAACTCTGTGTCACTTTTCTGTCAGCACCCAGAACCAATATATAAACATTTATTGACAAATTATTTACTCTTATTGTTTCCATAATTTCTTTACCGACATCCACATCTGACCGGTACTTTGAGAAAAATCCAGGGGTATCCACTACCACCATACTGTCTGTTCGCTCGATCTGGCATTCCTCGGTTTCTCCGTCTTCTAGTTCACGTGTACGGAACTTCTGGGCTCTCAGCAAATAATTACCAAAAGAACTTTTACCAATTCCACTCTTACCAAGTAAAATAATACATCTTGTGTAATCTGCCAGAAGTTTGACTGCGGCACCTTCTTTCAAGAATCCTGAAACATAAAATACCACACTCAGATAGCTAGTAATCTGGTAATCAGTATCTCGAAAAAGGGCAACCTATTTACATCTTGAATTGAATAATAACGCATGCAGTGTGAAACGAGGGAAATTTTGTTGAACAGCGTTTTTATCTTCTCTGAATTTTTGCTATGATATAACAGAAAACGAATCTACAATACATCATGAGAAATATTCATTGAACAATACTCAATGATACTCATTTCTGTGGCCATTATAGTTCTATGTCTGTTTCGTATCGGGGGTGCCTCTCGAATTTCTCAGGGTACTAAAAGCCCAGATGGAAAACAGAGCATTATTATAACTTCTGAATTATTGTTTCTAGTCCAGTGGTTCCCAACCTTTTTCAGCTTCACACCCCTGGAACAATCACCTGGGCCTTCACACCCCCAAAAATTTGTTTCATTCACATTTCCAGCATGTGATGATGTGAGGTGCTCTCTCAATTCAAAATAAATTCCTCTCCTACACCAGTTGGCCACCCCCCTGACACCCTAGTCCCACACCCCCGGGTTGGGAACTAAGGTTCTAGCCCCTACCTTTGGCAAATGGTTTCTTTTCTTTCGCAGAGTTATTCCGAGCTGTTTTTGCATCTATATTGTCATCAAAATCAAGTTTTTTAGTGTCCTTACGTTGTCTGTCTTCTTTCCTAACTGTAGCCCAATCAACACGGTCTTCATCAAATACATCAGGGATATTTTCATATTTATCACTGAAGATTTCTTTCCCAATCTCCGGAGTCTCATCTTGTTTTCCACCTTTACAATCAAGTATAAAATGTGTTATCTCCGGCAGATTTCTTGGAAACCGAAATTGATCACCTTTCAGGTAATCTTTTCTAGTGAAAACTATAATCATATGATTAACAACATTTCCTCCAAACAGTTTCTTTATAAACTCTACTGACTCTGAGCGACTGTCTAACTCTTTTCTGTCAGCACTTAGAACCAATATATAAACATTTATTGACAAATTATTTACTCTTATTGTTTCCATAATTTCTTTACCGACATCCACATCTGACCGGTACTTTGAGAAAAATCCAGGGGTATCCACTACCACCATACTGTCTGTTCGCTCGATCTGGCATTCCCCGGTTTCTCCGTCTTCTAGTTCACGTGTAGGGAACTTCTTGGCTTTCAGCAAATAATTACCAAAAGAACTTTTACCGATTCCACTCTTACCAAGTAAAATAATACATCTTGTGTTGTTTGCTCGAGGTTCAGCTGCAGGACCTTCTTCCCAGAGTCCTGAAACATAAAATACCACACTCAGATAGTTGTTAATAAAATATCAATTGTCTACAAGGTCAATATATTTAGTGTATTTTCAGACACTCTTGTTGAATCTTGGAGGCTTGGCTACAGCTTTCGTTTAGTTTGATTTCTGAAACATAAAATATCTGGTACTAATATAAACACCAATATTTAGTTTTCGTGGAATTGCAGGAACCACAGACATCTGATCAAAAATTGGAATGGTGCAAATTGATGATATCAATGTCCCCGATTCACATCATTTTTTTTAGAAAACCTCTTTACAATCCCTTTTAGATTACTGGAAATAATATATACATATTATTCAGTTGAGTCGATATTTAGCTACCATGGAGCTTTTAAAAGGATACTACCTCTTAGAATGGACATAAACATGTTAAAGGGATTGTAAAGAGGTTTTCTGAATTTTTTATGTGTATCGGGGACACTAATAGATTGAATTTCCAATTTTCAATCAGACGTCTGTGGTCACTAATCGCGAAGTCCTTATATGATACAGCATATTTTGCGATTAGTGACGTCATCAAACGCTCAGTTTAAGTAAAATTACAAAAACTCAAACTTGGTCATAAAGAGTATACATGTTTATTCATCAGTTTAATAAATAATTACTTAGTTTAATAAATAATTACTTAGTTTAATAAAAAATTACTTAGTTTAATAAATAATTACCTAGTTTTAAGGATATTTTTTTTATTATAGAGGGATTCTCTTGTATAGTATTTTTTTCTCACTGCCATTTGAGACTTACTTGAATATTTTTGGCCCATAGCCAAATAATCACCAAACACAGCTTGACCACTTTTGCTTCCTCTAGGCCCTGTACATATTTTGTCATGTGTTAGAGGTTCGGCTTCCGCACCCCTTTCCAAGATTTCTGGAAACATGAAAACAAATTTCAAGATCCAAATCAACCCCGGAAAATGATGAATCTTGCCCTTTAAATAAATTTATGCCTAACATTCTAGCCTCTCGTCAAATAGGCCAGTTATTATTTTTGTTAATTCCTTATTCAAATCAAAAATCCAGAAGAAAACTGAGAGAATCAAACCTTTCCCAAAAACAAATTTACCCAGCCACATCCACATCTCTGACATTTTAATGAAATAAATGGAGTTTTACGTCCTACTTTTCTGCACCATGTGAGCTAATGCAGACGGGCAACGCCATGCAGGGTGCAATGAGGGACAGCGGCATTAGCCTGCTCCTTTCAATACCCAACTGTCGAGGGATCTTTAACCTGCACAACCTGTAGCACACGGTTTATTGTCCCATCCGAACTACTAGACGCTTTTTCCATGTCAGACCTCGGACCTGTTTACTGTCACGGGGAAACCGGGTAATGACACATCCTCAGAGAGGTTTGGTTATGTTAGGCCACACCTCTAGTCGGTCTGTCATTAGATCTAACATAAAGCTTAAATAGTTTTAATTGCTACCTACCCAAGTTTATTATGTAGTCCTTTTTTCTATCGCAGGATTTGCTTTTTTTTACTTGCTCTTTTATTTTTAACATTGTTTGGCGCGATTCCAGTGATCTAATTGCCGAACTTTGGTTTTGTGTTTCTTGATCTGTCCTGGTTGGTGTTGTCTGAAGTGATTCATGTGATCTAATTGCCGAACTTTGGTTTTGTGTTTCTTGATCTGTTCCAGTTGGTATTGTCTGATGCAATTCATGTGGACTTTTTGTCGAACTTTGGTTTTGTGTTTCTTGGTCTGTTCCGGTTGGTGTTGTCTGAAGTGATTCATGTGGACTTTTTGTCGAACTTTGGTTTTGTGTTTCTTGGTCTGTTCCGGTTGGTGTTGTCTGAAGTGATTCATGTGGTCTTTTTGCCGAACTTTGGTTTTGTGTTTCTTGATCTGTCCTGGTTGGTGTTGTCTGAAGTGATTCATGTGGTCTTTTTGCCGAACTTTGGTTTTGTGTTTCTTGATCTGTCCTGGTTGGTGTTGTCTGAAGTGATTCATGTGGTCTTTTTGCCGAACTTTGGTTTTGTGTTTCTTGGTCTGTTCTGGTTGGTGTTGTCTTGGGCGATTCATGTGGTCTTTTTGCCGAACTTTGCTTTTGTGTTTCTTGGTCTGTTCTGGTTGGTGTTGTCTGAAGCAATTCATGTGGTCTAATAGCCGAATTTTGCTTTTGTGTTTCTTGATCTGTCCTGGTTGGTGTTGTCTGAAGTGATTCATGTGGTCTTTTTGCCGGACTTTGCTTTTGTGTTTCTTGATCTGTTCCGGTTGGTGTTGTCTGAGGCGATTCATGTGGACTATTTGCCGAACTTTGCTTTTGTGTTTCTTGGTCTGTCCTGGTTGGTGTTGTCTGAGGCGATTCATGTGGTCTTTTTGCCGAACTTGGGTTTTGTGTTTCTTGATCTGTTCCGGTTGGTGTTGTCTGAGGCAATTCATGTGGTCTAATTGCCGAACTTTGCTTTTGTGTTTCTTGATCTGTTCTGGTTGGTGTTGTCTGAGGCGATTCATGTGGTCTGATTGCCGAACTAAG